GCCGTGTCGAGAGTGCAGTCACGTGTCATGTACAACACCAGCCGGGTCGAGAGTGCAGTCACGTGTCATGTACAACAACAGCCGGGTCGAGAGTGCAGTCACGTGTCATGTACAACACCAGCCGGGTCGAGAGTGCAGTCACGTGTCATGTACAACAACAGCCGGGTCGAGAGTGCAGTCACGTGTCATGTACAACAACAGCCGGGTCGAGATTGCAGTCACGTGTCATGTACAACAACAACCGGGTCGAGAGTGCAGTCACGTGTCATGTACAACAACAGCCGGGTCGAGAGTGCAGTCACGTGTCATGTACAACAACAGCCGGGTCGAGAGTGCAGTCACGTGTCATGTACAACAACAGCCGGTTCGAGAGTGCAGTCACGTGTCATGTACAACAACAGCCGGGTCGAGAGTGCAGTCACGTGTCATGTACAACAACAGCCGGGTCGAGAGTGCAGTCACGTGTCATGTTCAACACCAGCCGGGTCGAGAGTGCAGTCACGTGTCATGTACAACAACAGCCGGATCGAGAGTGCAGTCACGTGTCATGTACAACAACAGCCGGGTCGAGAGTGCAGTCACGTGTCATGTACAACACCAGCCGGGTCGAGAGTGCAGTCACGTGTCATGTACAACAACAGCCGGGTCGAGAGTGCAGTCACGTGTCATGTACAACAACAGCCGGGTCGAGAGTGCAGTCACGTGTCATGTACAACAACAGCCGGGTCGAGAGTGCAGTCACGTGTCATGTACAACACCAGCCGGGTCGAGAGTGCAGTCACGTGTCATGTACAACAACAGCCGGGTCGAGAGTGCAGTCACGTGTCATGTACAACAGCCGGGTCGAGAGTGCAGTCACGTGTCATGTACAACAACAGCCGGGTCGAGAGTGCAGTCACGTGTCATGTACAACACCAGCCGGATCGAGAGTGCAGTCACGTGTCATGTACAACACCAGCCGGGTCGAGAGTGCAGTCACGTGTCATGTACAACAACAGCCGGGTCGAGAGTGCAGTCACGTGTCATGTACAACAACAGCCGGGTCGAGAGTGCAGTCACGTGTCATGTACAACAACAGCCGGGTCGAGAGTGCAGTCACGTGTCATGTACAACACCAGCCGGGTCGAGAGTGCAGTCACGTGTCATGTACAACAACAGCCGGGTCGAGAGTGCAGTCACGTGTCATGTACAACAACAGCCGGGTCGAGAGTGCAGTCACGTCTCATGTACAACACCAGCCGGGTCGAGAGTGCAGTCACGTGTCATGTACAACAACAGCCGGGTCGAGAGTGCAGTCACGTGTCATGTACAACAACAGCCGGGTCGAGAGTGCAGTCACGTATCATGTACAACAACAGCCGGGTCGAGAGTGCAGTCACGTGTCATGTACAACACCAGCCGGGTCGAGAGTGCAGTCTCGTGTCATGTACAACAACAGCCGGTCGAGAGTGCAGTCACGTGTCATGTACAACAACAGCCGGGTCGAGAGTGCAGTCACGTGTCATGTACAACAACAGCCGGGTCAAGAGTGCAGTCACGTGTCATGTACAACAACAGCCGGGTCGAGAGTGCAGTCACGTGTCATGTACAACACCAGCCGGGTCGAGAGTGCAGTCACGTGTCATGTACAACAACAGCCGGGTCGAGAGTGCAGTCACGTGTCATGTACAACAACAGCCGGGTTTCGAGAGTGCAGTCACGTGTCATGTACAACACCAGCCGGGTCGAGAGTGCAGTCACGTGTCATGTACACAACAGCCGGGTCGAGAGTGCAGTCACGTGTCATGTACAACAACAGCTGGGTCGAGAGTGCAGTCACGTGTCATGTACAACACCAGCCGGGTCGAGAGTGCAGTCACGTGTCATGTACAACAACAGCCGGGTCGAGAGTGCAGTCACGTGTCATGTACAACACCAGCCGGGTCGAGAGTGCAGTCACGTGTCATGTACAACAACAGCCGGGTCGAGAGTGCAGTCACGTCTCATGTACAACACCAGCCGGGTCGAGAGTGCAGTCACGTGTCATGTACAACAACAGCCGGGTCGAGAGTGCAGTCACGTGTCATGTACAACAACAGCCGGGTCGAGAGTGCAGTCACGTATCATGTACAACAACAGCCGGGTCGAGAGTGCAGTCACGTGTCATGTACAACACCAGCCGGGTCGAGAGTGCAGTCTCGTGTCATGTACAACAACAGCCGGGTCGAGAGTGCAGTCACGTGTCATGTACAACAACAGCCGGGTCGAGAGTGCAGTCACGTGTCATGTACAACAACAGCCGGGTCAAGAGTGCAGTCACGTGTCATGTACAACAACAGCCGGGTCGAGAGTGCAGTCACGTGTCATGTACAACACCAGCCGGGTCGAGAGTGCAGTCACGTGTCATGTACAACAACAGCCGGGTCGAGAGTGCAGTCACGTGTCATGTACAACAACAGCCGGGTCGAGAGTGCAGTCACGTGTCATGTACAACACCAGCCGGGTCGAGAGTGCAGTCACGTGTCATGTACAACAACAGCCGGGTCGAGAGTGCAGTCACGTGTCATGTACAACAACAGCTGGGTCGAGAGTGCAGTCACGTGTCATGTACAACACCAGCCGGGTCGAGAGTGCAGTCACGTGTCATGTACAACAACAGCCGGGTCGAGAGTGCAGTCACGTGTCATGTACAACACCAGCCGGGTCGAGAGTGCAGTCACGTGTCATGTACAACAACAGCCGGGTCGAGAGTGCAGTCACGTGTCATGTACAACACCAGCCGGGTCGAGAGTGCAGTCACGTGTCATGTACAACACCAGCCGGGTCGAGAGTGCAGTCACGTGTCATGTACAACACCAGCCGGGTCGAGAGTGCAGTCACGTGTCATGTACAACACCAGCCGGGTCGAGAGTGCAGTCACGTGTCATGTACAACAACAGCCGGGTCGAGAGTGCAGTCACGTGTCATGTACAACAACAGCCGGGTCGAGAGTGCAGTCACGTGTCATGTACAACAACAGCCGGGTCGAGAGTGCAGTCACGTGTCATGTACAACACCAGCCGGGTCGAGAGTGCAGTCACGTGTCATGTACAACAACAGCCGGGTCGAGAGTGCAGTCACGTGTCATGTACAACAACAGCTGGGTCGAGAGTGCAGTCACGTGTCATGTACAACAACAGCCGGGTCGAGAGTGCAGTCACGTGTCATGTACAACAACAGCCGCGTCGAGAGTGCAGTCACGTGTCATGTACAACAACAGCCGGGTCGAGAGTGCAGTCACGTGTCATGTACAACAACAGCTGGGTCGAGAGTGCAGTCACGTGTCATGTACAACAACAGCCGGGTCGAGAGTGCAGTCACGTGTCATGTACAACAACAGCCGGGTCGAGAGTGCAGTCACGTGTGATATATTCAAGCAACAAGTTCTTGGCTTAATATTTATTATATAAACAAATTTTGAGTGCACAGTTGACGAGCAATATCAGTGTTCACCTGAACTGTGTTGCAGTGAAATAACATTACTCTGTCTTATTTTGTTGCAAAAATGAAAAACCAGAAGAAGAAACGAATTTACAATGACATTTTTTTTCACTCATTATTTTTATGTATGTTTTATATGCCTGCTATTTTCATACAGTGTTTATGCTATTTCTGCTCCTGATGTTTATTATGTGTTTAAGGTAATGCACTTTTAATTGTATTTGCATGATGTGATTCTGTGTATATTAACATAGTCACACGGGAAAATGAAAGGGGAGTTCCAAGGTTCTGTCAGATTATTTAAGATGTGGACTGTAATGCCTTCTGCTAGCTGACTTTCTCATGTACTCTCTCAGCACAGAACATACACCGAATCATGGAGCGCTGCCTCTCATAGCCCTGTGAGACCAGGATTATGTCTGTCATTTACGGTATTTTTGTGTTTATGTATATATATTGTCGTGCCGAATAGGTAAAATTGCGAGAGAAAATTTGTTTATGCAGTAATTTCGCAAAAATTATTCGGAATCTAACGAGAAAAATGTATTTCATTGTGTTTGTTTATTATTAAATTATTGTAAACTTATCTAAAATATATTTAGCTGAATTAGGCTAAATTAAATTGCGCTTATTATAATGTGGTTAGGTAAGTTTTCTGAGGTTCTTTTGGTACAAAATTATTAATTTTTACAAAAACATAAATGAAAAAAATATTTTTGAACGTCTAAGACAAAATTTTAGAAATTACTTAATTTTAAACAAGTTCTTGCTAATTGACCAGTTTTACCTAAACGGCACAACATCTATATATATATATATATATATATATATATATATATATATATATATATATATATATATATATATATATATATATATGTATATATATATATATATATATATATATATATATATATATATATATATATATATATGTGTATGTATTTGTGTGTGTGTGTGTGTGTGTGTGTGTTGTACCTGATATGAAGAGGTGAACAGTACAAGCCGAATTTATTTAAAAAAATATTTTTCGACATCTTGTCTTACGAATTAATAGATATTTTTCAGTGAGTTAACATGACACAACGTTTTAAAACGGCACCAAAATTATTTTAGCCTATTAAAAGTTAACATTTTGGAAGTACATACATTATCGAAATATTAGAATTTCGTAATGTACCGACTAATTTTTGCCAAGTTATAGCAAACAGAAACATAATTTCGGCGTATTTGGTAAAAAATATCATTGCTCAACAAAATAAGTCAACAAGTACTGTCTGAAAATCCGTGTGCTTGTGTATGAATACGTGTATTTGTGTATATATCAATAAAGCATGTATGTGAATGCAACAGTATACATGGAAGATCTTTAGCTTCTAATTAATCAGCTTTATGTACCTACTAACTGCCTGTCTCGTCTACACTAACCACTTAACACTCGTAACCAGAGGGCTGTTGTGGAGGCGGGCACGCAGATGGCGACTAACCCCAAGTTGATGGCGTTAACGTGCACCACACACACACCACATTCATTCTTGCAGGTACTATGAAACCGGTTCCATCAGACCAGGTGTGATCGGCGGGTCTAAGCCCAAAGTGGCCACACCTACAGTGGTAGAAGCCATCGCTAACTACAAGAAGCAGAACCCTACTATGTTTGCTTGGGAGATTCGTGAGCGGCTTCTCTCAGACGGTGTGTGTGACCAGGAGGGTGTTCCGTCAGTCTCCAGCATTAACAGGTGGGTGGAGAGCAGCAATAACTAACCTCAAACCGTCGTTCTCTTCTAGATATTACGAGACCGGGAGCTACAAAGCTGGTGTCATTGGAGGTTCCAAACCCAAAGTAGCGACTCCCGTGGTGGTGGATGCCATTGCCAGGTATAAACGGGAGAATCCCACCATGTTCGCCTGGGAGATCCGTGACAGGCTGCTTGCGGAGAGCGTTTGTACCCAGGAGAACGTTCCCTCCGTATCCTCCATCAACAGGTAACGTCGGCAGTAGATTGGAGACCTACTCATGGTCTGCCAAGCCTGCCTGCCTGCCTGTCGTGACCTGCCTTGCACACTGATCATCAGACCTGCTTTGTTTACCTGACCAGCCTGCACTTCCCTTAATGCTACCTCAAGGAGGCAGCGTCTTATTTTGCACTGTGTTCGTGTTTGTGTGTAGAACGTCTGGCAGTATTGTTTGCACACACCAATAGTATTATTACATGCACTCTTATCATCTACATATGTGCATTTTCTTGTACATTTGTACACTTCCATGCACTGTTTCCTTGCGGACATTTACATATCCGTGCACTATTCCATGTACATACAGACTTCCATGCATTCTTTCCATGTATACATGTACACCTCCATGCAATTTCCATGTATACATGTATACTTCCATGCACTGTTTTTATGTACACATGTAGACTTCCATGCACTTGCGTTTGTTTGCACGTAGAGCTGTACATGATAGTTGAAGGTAGGTGCTGTAGACGTGGTCCCGTAGCTGTTCCTAGTTGTGACATCAGCTATTTTTCTGAGGCAACTGGATTATTCTCCCTGCGCTGTTATTAAACTTATTTACATGTTTTCATTATATGCAGTTTTTGTTATTTTAAACTATTGATATTAACTGATATTATCATTTAGGTACTTAAAAACATATGACAGAAGCACGGGTGGTATACGTAAATTTTGTTGAATTAGACACATGTGCAACTCTTGGGTATCTTTATTGAGGAAACGTTTCGCCACACAGTGGCTTCGTCAGTCCATACAGAGGAGAAACTTGAACAGGAGGAGAATGAGGTAATCAGTCCCTCAGCCTTGAGTAGATGTGGTCAGTCCATCAATCTTGAAGATTGATGGACTGACCACATCGACTCAAGGCTGAGGGACTGATTACCTCATTCTCCTCCTGTTCTTCAAGTTTCTCCTCTGTATGGACTGATGAAGCCACTGTGTGGCGAAACGTTTCCTCAATAAAGATACCCAAGAGTTGCACATGTGTCTAATTCAACAACATGTGTCGGTTCTCTGAACCATTCATCTACCATACGTAAATTTTAAATTATGTTTATGTAAACTGGTGAATGTTAATTCAATATTTAGCAGAAGAAACTGAAAAAATGCAATCAATAAAACAGACTCGCAGATTAATACTGCTGGCTGGGCAGCGTCACTCGTCCCGTGAGTGAGCATAATGCCATGAAGACAGTAGCTGTTGGCCTGATATGTACTGTTTTCTGACTGTTTACACATAACATAAATGGCACCGTTCAATAAACTTAGCCCTCGGGACGAGAGCTAGACGAGTCTGCTTATCTTGGTGGGCACTTGTTACATTATCCAGTGTTAAAGCTGATGACTGCGACGACACATGTACTCAGTGACAGTCAAGGTATGCTGCTACCTTGTCTCCTAAAACTTAACTTCCGCGCATACGCAGTAACATCAAAACAAACATAGTACCGAGGTCTTCGCCGGTCCATCTTCGAAACAAACGAAATTGTCGGTAAAACTTTGGAAGTCTGTTCGGTCTCTTCAGTAGTAGTTAAAGTAGCAGAGACAAACGAACTATTTGAGTTTCATTGTCTCATAAAACGGCTCCCCAAAACATAGTTCCTGCCAACTACCATAGAACAATGTTAGTGGGTCGAAGGGAGCCGCTAGGTCGTTAGGAGTTTATACTGAGTCCGCATTACGGCAGCCATAAAGTGGCTTCCCTCCCGTAATCCAGAGCCAAAGGCAAAGAATTTCAAGATTTTTTTTCTCCAGGATCTCAACTTTTTTTTATATATTCTACACATCCACCAACGAAGCAAAAATTTTTAATGGATCATACAGGGGCCTCTGTGAACCCATTATCTCGCAGTCGCTCCGGGATGATTTTGCAGGAGCACCGTGTTTTTTATACGGCATTACGGGCTCGGTCTTAGGATTAAAAAAGCACTCTCGCCATTGTGCTTTGGGGACGCCCAACAGACTTTGGTGTTTGCTGATGAGTTTAACTATGGATTGCAACACAGTAATGCGGGGTTTATGTTTAATACGGGGGCGACCCTCTCGTTATCCTCTTCCTCTTTGCTCATTTGCATTGCAGATTGGCGCAGGCGACTCTCCGACTCTTCTAGGGCGCGCCCTGCCTAACTTGCCAGCCATTTATTCCACGCATAAATCTGCCTCGAGCAAATATATTTAAAAAAAAAGTTATTTGGATGCTCATTGTCCGTCGAATTTTGAGCAAGAGATCTGGCTAGATTTCGGTGGGAAAGACGAATGGGAAATAAGACCAAATTACAGCGGTGTTTCAACGGCTTGTTGTGCCTTACGTACCAGCCATCACTCACAAGAGCCAACCTCATTAGAGCGTTGTTGGCGTCGCTAATGACCTCATTCAGTTTTCGTGGGCGTGTAAAAACTGGCGTGGTGGTGCAGAGCTCAAGACCATTCACATCCAAAAGAGCTTCCACCATGTGAGAAGTTGATGACCCCTGCTTAGGTCCTCATTGGCCGAGATGCCTCCTAAAGCTGCTGGATGGCAGGCAGCGCCCTGCACCACCAGAAGGAAGAAGAGAAGGAGGGGAAGAGGAAGAGGGGAAAGCAGGGCGAGAAGGAAAAGGAGGAGGTGGCGGGAAAGGATTAAGAGGAAAGACGAGGAAGAAAATAAGCACGAAGTAGATAAGGAATACGTAAGGTGGAAGGAGGGGGTAAAAAAAGAAGAAAAGGGAGGAGACGAGAAAGATGAAGAGGTGGAGAGGAAGGAGGAGGGAGGGAGCGTGCGCACCACCACCAGCACACAACTAACACTCTCTCTCCGTCACTTGTTTGTCTTGCTTATATTCCCCTCACGTGTTTACTCCGTGAGAGGACTGCAACACTGTTTCAGTAGCTCTCCTGCAGCCATGGTTAACACCACATAACACGATGGACCCATTGAGAAAGGGGCTAAAAAAAAAAAGCTCCAGGAGTATACTTTAAGCCAGACAAATACAACAAAAACAACAAGAGCAACAAGGGAATAGAGGAAAAGGCAAGGAAATCCCCGTTACTCCGCCTCTGCCACGATGCGACCCGTATTTACGAGGTATTTATGTTCCTAAAATCGATGATCAGCCGTTTGATGAGGATTTCATGTCCTTCTGTTGGAGGTGTATAATGTGATTTAATACTTGATTTTATTTTAAAGATACTGTCTTCAACGAAGAGTATTAAAAATGAGTTTAAATCGCCTGAGATTTATTGAGTTTGAGTGTATGAATAATACAAAAAAAAATCTATCTTGAAGAACACGGTTACAAATGCAAGTTCAAATCGCATTAATATCTTTTTTACGTATCTTTCTTAAAATATCGTGAAATTTACTGTGATTATAATAAAGATTCAACAGAACAGAGTTTTCCCCAGCGCCTGCAGAGGAGAAAAAAAGGGAAGAAATAAGAATTCTTGAGGCTGGTAGTACCGGAAATACTTTTCAACACAAGGCTGAGCGTGAAAGCATAGCAAACTTTAAGTCTTTTTTGTGTATATTTTCCCTCCAGTATTCCTTTTAATCGCACTTTACCATGGCAAATTAAGCGCTTTTATTCGACCTGGTCTATAGAAAATTTACTTTCCCGAGAAATAAGCTAAGATTTTAAAGACTTACCCGACGTGGAGAATCAGCCAAGCAACAAATATGGTATCCGCCATCTTGATCTTCTTGGCGGGAAAACTTGCGACGTTGACAGATGAAGATCAAGCTGCGCCCCAGACTAAATTAGCTTTTCCTTATTTGAGGGGCTGGATTAATCCCCTCCAGTTGGGATTGCCTTCATTTGCTCTTTCCCGGAGAACCTCTCGAGTTGAGGCTGAGGAAATCCGGGTGGTGGGGCAGGATTTGTGAAATATGGAGACGATCTTACGTGGAGTTTATTTATTTTTTTCATAAAGACGAAGTGAAAATTTTCATGGGAGTGGTGAGAGGTCAGCATATGTAGGTGGCCTCTGTGTGTATTATTAAAGTGTCCTGTAGCTCGGCTGGTAGCGCACTAAGCTCACACATTGAGGTCCATGGTTCTATCTCTGGTTCGGGTGGAAACAGGGCGTTTCCTAAAGACACCTACTGTCCCTGTTCACCTAGCAGTAAGTAGGTACCTTGGTGTTAGCCGACTGGCGTGGGTCGCATCCTGGGCACAAAATCTAATTTGACCGAAATGCTCTGCATAACAAGGTATGTCGGTATCAATCGTATAATGTATTCCTAGAAATAATAATAATTATTATTATTTACTGGCTATTCATCTCTTGTGTTATACTGATTTATATTGACTTGAGTTTGCAGTCTACGTTTCCCTGAGTCTCTCTCCACCCTCCGCGGCAGGAGGAAATCTCTGGGTTAACAAGATAATCATAAAAGTCAAGTAGGGCGGGATGAGTGCCCTTGTGAGCGTATTATCGGTCTGCGAACAGCGCCGGCGTCCCCTCCGCCCTTTCTCCTCGCTCATGTGTCCCGCCGGCAACAGAAGGACCAATGTTTACAAGCGATTGAACACCAATACGCCTTCATAAACAACCAGCCGTCAGCCAACCGGCCGCTTCTGGCTGTCATCTGGCAAAGGCTCTGGTTATATCCTCGTCCTGCCAAGGCAGTCATCTCCCCAAACGGTTTTAATATAAGTAATGTGATGTTGCTTCACTTATGTGTGAGAGCGGCCGCGGTGGCCATGATTCCTCAAACCAACAGAGAGATCACCGGCCGTGGGGG